CCCCGTTTGCACAGACAAGGTGCCAGGGGTGCAGCTCAGCAGCTGGCAAAGTTCAGGCCAGGCAAGTTCCAGGGCTGGAACTGGCACCTCTCCCCTCCCAGCTCCGCCCTCGGGCCCAACTGCGGCTCTTCTGTGGTCCAGATAGATGGAAGAGCAGATTTTACATAAACAGAGCCTGCACTCCCCTCTGAAGGGTGGAGATAGGTTAAAAAGCAGAGGAATCCAGGGATGCAGCAAGAGGAGGGAAGAAAGCAGGGATAGGAAAGGGCAGCTTTGTGCCCAGAGAGGAGACACTAATGGAACATGACTGACTTGTTTAGTAGGGGAGAAAAAAAGGAGAAATTAAGATAAGGGAAGAGAGCAAACAGGAATACAACCTGACATGAGATATTCCCAGTGGTAGAGGCTCAGGAAAAAGGAAGGAAAACTAAGTAAAGCTGGAGGAGGAGAAGAATTAGAGCAAAAATAGCATCAGCTGGAGTATTTCCCACCAGGGCTGGTGAACACCAGTGAGTCAGAGCTCCTGCAGCTCCAGCCAAAACGAGATGGGCTTTTCCCAGTGACTTTTTGGGAGAGTGATCCCAATTCCTGCTCCTCTGGGGACAGTCACACTGAGTGTTCCTGGGGTGCAGATTCCTGTGCTGAAGCAGAGCAGCAGCTGAGCCCAGGGGGGAATTAATAATGGCCAATTTATTGAGGGATCCCTGACTGAGAATTCCTCAGTAATTCCTCCCTGTGCCAGCTTGTCTTTTGCCTTCTGGCTTTGGCCACATTCTCACACTCACTCAAACAACACCCACACTGGGGCTCCTGACTCAGCTGCTTTTTTGGCTGCCATAAATCAACTTCATTTTTGGAGGTGTAGGTTTTACACTGGGAATGTTCCTCACATGGTTTATCTTCTGCCTCCTCCTAATCAGGGCTTCCCTGTTCCAACTTCAGGGTGGCAGGTTTTCAGTAAGGAATTATTGAACTGGTTTCTATTCTGATATCTTTGATATTTGAGGATTTATGGTGAATTCCTGACTCTCCACTGAGCCAGGAGAGGTTTTTGATCATCACTACTGAGCCTCAGTATCATTATAAATAAAAGAAGGGATGTTATAAATAAAATAAAGGACAATGGAGTGTGTTTGGATGCCCAGAGGGGAGAGGAGCACTTAAAGCTTCAAGCACGTCCCTGGCACCCGTCAGGGCTGGCAGCGCGCACAGACCCCGCTATTCCCACAGGAAATACAGGGGTTTCCACTAAAAATCCCTTCCCCAAAGACAGAGGAGCCGCAGCAGGAGCCCCCCGAGGTGCTGTGCTGGGCCTGCACTTACACATGCCGTTGGGAGCTGCCAGGGGCACCCGAGGTCCGATGAGGTTGCCGGCCATGGGCGCCATCCCGGGCGGGGGGGCCCCCCCGGCAGGGTGGAGGTTGGCTGACACACTTGGCATCATCCGGCCTGGCAGGGGCTGCCCGGGGAGCATCGACCCTGGCCCTGGCATCTGACCTGGGAGGGGAGGGAGAGACACGATGGTGAGACCCTGGGAGTGGTGGGAAGGGAGAACCAGAGCGAGGGGCGGCCCCAAACACCCGGGAAATGCCTCTTCGACCCCAAAGGCAACACACTCTCCCCCCAGGAAGGGCCACGGGGCACTGGGCATCTCCTGGGAACACTGGCACAGTCAAACCCAACGTTGGCAGTGACCCCCCACCAAAAGGCACCGGATGGAATCCAAACAGTGGGACACAAACGGGCTGGGATAACCAGGCACCAAAGGAGCCCCTGGTGGGAAGGAGCAGCCACGAAGCCCCACGGACTAATTTAATGGGAGAACTGAAATGATGCAGCTGGAAATGGGGCTGCATGGGAATTCCTACCATTATCCCCCTGTTTTGCTGTGAGGGAATATTCCAACACTCCTGCTCCCAAACCAGCTCCGCAGGAGACCTTCCTGTTCCAGCTGCACAAGGACCTGCTGGAATCACCTGTCTTTGAACACCTCCAACAACCATGAGTGATGCCTTAAAACCTCATTTGAGAGGTGATTTTGCATAATCCAATTACATTTCCTTTTACACCCTCCCGTGCAGGGACAGTACTTTGGTTGGGAAGCGGCGATTGGACTAAACTGGGATTAAACACGGGGGAATTCCTGCCACCACCACAGCAAAACCAAACTCCTCTTTCTGCAGACATGTTTTTTTTTTTTCTATTTTAGAGAGTAACTGCTCCAAGACAGTGGCTCAAGTAGAAAATGTGGAAGTGTGACCTACATAGGGGAGAGAGCTTAGAACAGCAGCCGCGGGAAGAGATAAAGGCAAAAGGTTCAATAAAACGAGATTTAAGAGACTAAAAAAAACCCTTTCCACGTTAGAGACCAGGGAGGTTCCTGTCGCTCCAAAGGATTCCACTGCTACCAAACTGCAGCTCCACATTCCAGGGAAACGGATGAGGAACCACTTTTAAAGGCTCTCCAAGGTATTTATCTCTATCAAACGAGCCTCTCCCTCTATTAAATCAGCTCCTCGAGGGGCACTGCAGTGATAAACAGCTTTAGGGGTTGTCTCGCTGGAGCAGTGATGCACAGGGCTTGGAGCTGATCCAAACCCTCCTGCACACCTCTCCCTGCTCCCCCCTCCCAGGGAAGACCTGCAGGCCCAGCCAGTGCCCCCGAAGGCAGACAGGATTCGGGGGCAGGATTTGGGAGGGAGCAGCTGCCGCTCCGAGGAGATGTGCCTGGCTGACATCCCACTCTCCCACCACTCAGTGAGCTGCTTCCCAGCCCTGGGCAGGAAGGAGCAGACAGCAGCTGCAGGGAATGCCTGCTGGCTCCATGCAAAGCCCAAGGTGTGCTCCTTCCCAGCGGGAACACGGCTCACAAGAGCCGGGAATCACGGAATCCCAGATGGGCTCGGGGTGGAAGGGACCTTAAAGCTCATCCCGTTGCAGCCCCTGCCACGGCAGTGACATTCCAGCAGTGAATCCATCCATCCTCCCCTCCACCCTCCCTGGGCAGGGAGGGTGAATAACTGGGCCCAGGGACAGGGGTGGGACTGACTAAGCCCAGGGACTCGCGTGCCGAG